TATATGTGTACATAAAAATGCTACATATAGGCAGAGTCATAGGCGTAGCCGAGGGAGGAGTCAGAGGAAAAACAATTTGCTGTTTGTGAAAAGGTGCAGTAGAAGGAGGCGGCTGCGGGATGGTAGACCGCTGGGAGGCACGCTAAATAACTGAAGAAAATGTTGGCCTCTGGCAGCAGTCGTCATAGGCAGTGTGTCCTGTCAGTTGCAGGAGGCCTGTTGTACTGTGCTGGCGGCCATTTAAAAAAATGTGCCATACGTTGCGTATACGTCACACAAAACACACACGGACACACAAAGGGGAGAGAGAGCAAGACAGAGAGCGAGAAAGATGTGAAAAATGTTGGCAGCTCTGTGGGAAATTGAGAAACTGAAGGGAAGGAGCGTCAAAGAAAATGCGAATGAAAAACAGTAGCTGGAGCAGGAGAAGGAGGAGAAAATCTCGTGAGTGAATGCCTCTGTATATGTATATGTATGCATATGAGTATATGTGCGTGTACTTAAGGGAAAGAAGAAAAGACTGAAGAGGAGTGGAGAGTCGGGAGGAGAGGTTGCAGACGTAGGAAGGCAACCGAACGACATGAGCCGTGACGTTAGGCTCATTTATTTATTATTTCCTCAGATTGAAGCACTATCAATAACCATGTGCAAACAAGGCGAGAAGTCTCGCAAACAGCAGCACATTTCGTAGGGGAGCACATGTGCGAAACCAGACAGAAACGATGTGTGCAGGCGACGCTTTGGGGTTTTGGTTTATCAACTTTACGGCCTGTCTCCTTCCTTGTTTATAGATCTATTCAGAGAAATGGATGTAGGTACTTAAGCATCTGGAGCCGGCTATGGATTGTTTTGGTTGCTACTCCTGTTCACATTGGTATATCCTCGAGCCAAAGTAGAGGAAGTCGCAGAATCTAGGAACATGGATCTCAGTGACAGTAAGAACGGAGAGTAACCGATAAAAGAACCCAACTTTGAACATTTTGGCACAGCACATCGATCTACATATACACGTCAAGAGTCAGAGAGAGAGAGGGAACCGAAAACAGTACAATAAGGAGATTCTTATGTACATATATAGCGTCTTTTTTGTATATGCCATTTTATTGTGGATCGGTTTTATCGAACTATATCGAGTGCCCCTTAAATGAGTACATTTTCCGGGTCAACTCTTTTGTTATCGCATCCCGAAATTAAACTATTTTGCATAAATCAAAACCCTTTACATTCTCCTATCGTACTATATAATATACTCATGTGCTGCTACCCGTGGATCCCTTGTGGGCCATTCATTTGGCTGTGCATTCACTTTTTTGTTGTCATATTTTTTGTTGGGCAAAACATGATTTAGTGGCTCTACCCCTTTTGGCGTCTCTTTGGCCCCAGCTTAATGATGTCAATCGGCGCGTGCTTTGGCTTCAAACTAAGGCCGCCGCGGCATATTTGCCAAGTTTATTTGACCAAAAAAAGATGAGTTGAGGCTGGACCCGGTCACGAGCCCATCGCACATTCATCATGTGGGTGGAAAGGTAACATGGAAAAGCAATCGTCAGACAAAAAGGGGCCAAAGGCCGCAGCAGCAGAGTAGCCTCATTCCCCCTTCCAAAAAAAAAAAAAAAACTCCAAAGGATGCTTGCCAAAAAATTACATGGTCCATTGGTCAGCGGCAACAGCAGCCGCAGCAGCCCCAGCAGCGGCGTGGGGGCCAAGAGCAGTAGGAACCGGGCCCGCAGCAACCCTTAAACAACATGCTGGCTTATCCCCTCTCTCATCCGTATCCCCCCTCTCTCACTCTTCTCACACTCGTATATTCATAAAAGAGTAAAACAAAAAAAAAACACCTTTGATGTATGTAATTTTGTTACCATTTTTTATGCCCCTCATTCCAATGGAATTTTGTTGTTTTGTTTCGTCCACTTTTTGGCCATAATGTAGAGCTCTCTGTAGAGCCATGACTCTCTCTCTCTCTCTCTCTCTGTGTGTGCCTCTCTTTCTCTATATGCCTGAGTTTGTGTGTGTGTGTGTGTGTGTGTGACACAGAAAGCAAGTTGTGCGAGGTGCGAAGCTGTGACGTAAGCAGAGAGCAGTGGAGAAGCAGTGGCCATCAAATTGGGTTATCCCCCAGCACCACACGCCAAAAAAAGAGGAAAGGATTTTAGAGCCTCGGAGAAGGGGTACTTTTTTCAGTGGTTTTTGCAGCCACAAGGGAAATGAGATTTGCGCCACGAAAGTGGGTGCAACGTAGCCGTGTCAGTTTCAAAGTGACTGTGCGCTTCTCCTCCTGCTCCTGGAGCAGGAAGCAGGTTGGCGGAGGAGCCGCACTGGATTCTAGTAGAGAGTAAGGGGCCGGTGTCCAAATGATTGATTTGTTAGGCTGGGAATCAATTGTGGCCGAACTTCGAAACTCGTGTTCAGCCCACCAATCAATACCATAAATATTTTATGCGACTCTGGAAACTTGAAAACTTTGTCCTGGGAAAAACTTTTAACATGCAAAGCAATGAAAATTCGACAGTGCCTGGAGATATTCTACGGATTATGGAAATACCTTCAGTTAATTGAACAATTGTTCAGGATCTACTGCAAAATGCAAAATATATTGTGACATCATCAAATAATTATCGCCCCATAAGACAATTTCCATTGAGAGAGGCACACTTTGCCGTCACTCTCGGACCAGAGAACTTAATTACATTAAACTAAATGGGCGAAAAGCAGAGAGAAACACAGTTCGCTTAGTAAGTATATGTACAACCAGCGACAGTGACAGGGGCAGGCACGATTCCCACAAGCTGGCAAAGTCATCAAAAAATTTCACAGCCACTTGGGAAGGCAGAAAAGCGCAAAATTTTTATTATGTTTTCATTAGAGGCATAGCACAGCCAAATGGTCAAAGAAAGCCACCAGGAAACCATTGCCATTGCCACCATTGCCCCCATGGCCTAAGACACGCTTAAGGGGCGTGGCTGGCAATGGGAGGGAGCAATGAAAACTTTTGAAGAACTCCTGGGCCAGGGCTCAGACACGCGCGAGTGCCGCAAAAAGCGTGGAGAGCAACAAAATCTAATGAACAACGATGGTGTGTTTGTGTGTGTGCATCTGTATTAGTATCTTGGGGGAGTGTGGTGCGATGGCCAGGAGAAAGCCCAAGAGAAAGCCCCATTCTCAAGGGCACGCTTCCGGAAATAAATAAATAAAATTGAAGCTCCACTGAAGGCAATGTTTTTCTTTGCCTATGAAATGCGGAAAAAAGAGAGAATAAAAACCTTTTCGCATTGAGAATATAAATTCTCTTGAAATTTTAATGATACAAAATATTTGTACACAAAAGAAACTCATCATATTTTTCCAACCCGCACCCCCACGCCCGCCATGGCTCGATTTCCATTCTGTTTTAGTGTCTGTCTTGCACTTGATTGTGCAATTTAAAATTAATTAAAAGGTAGAAGAAATTGAAGCTTATGTGGGAGCTCTGCTGCTGCTGTTGCTGTTGCTCTTTGAAGTTTAATTGAAACAGAAAACAGTGCGGGTATACAATATTCGATGTTTCCTGAATAGGAATAGAGGGGGCAAGGAGCAGCACATTCAAGTGTCAAGAGGATATGAATCCCTTGTCATGCGAGTAGTCCACGGTTTTTGCTCTGTGCACTTTGTGGAAAACTTTTCAGCACAGGCATCAAGTTTCTGTTCGTCAAGACAACTAGGTGAATATGCAAACTATGTGAATATTTGATGCACAAAATTACGCAGTAAGAAAGTGTGTGCTCCAATTCCTTCATTATAATTAACAGCGAACCCCAAACAATGTTCTCCAAAAACAGAAGCACATATCAGTAGATATCAATAGAAGCCTGCTTCCTGATAGTCAAATCTAAGGACATCTTTCTCGGTACGTAGCAAAGAAGAATTCCCTCGAACCCCGCAAATAGATGACAGAGGGACGGGAGATTTCGTATAATTAAAAGGAACAAACGACTCGTGTTTCGGCCAGTCATCGATAAATCAGAGCTTCTCTGTCCGCACCTCTCCTCTGTAACGCTTTATGGTGGGGACGCAATCGCAGCTCGACAGCTGACGACAGCTGATTGATGATCCGCAAAATTACAAATTACACACACAAATGCTAGCCGAGATATGGGGGAAGAAAGGGCAGATAAAAATCGCCCCAGACCGACCGAACGAAACACGCCATCCAATTCACTTAGGGCGTTGCACCTTATTTGCTTTTGGCCCAAATACATTTCCAAGGAGGAGAAAGACGTTGGAAATTTGATTGATTATATTCATCAGAGAAAACGAACGCTGCCGCAATTAAAATAAAATGAAGAAGAAATCATTTATAATTGTGTGCGTCTGAGATGAGCGTTGAGTTGTCTCCAAAATCGGCAGGACGAAATCAATCCATATTCTTGAATCAGAAAAATACTTGCATACGCCCCAGTCCCAGTCCCAGTCCCAGTTCCAGTTCCAGTTCCAGTCCCACACTGAGCGTTGGAATCCGCTCGTTCTGGGAAAAAGAACAGCTGGCGACTCTTTCAATTTCCTCCCCACTTTTCGCCCGAACAAACAGCGAAAAAGCATTACGAAAGTATCGAATTTCCGTTCGCATTTGTAATCTATTTTAGCTTGTTTCTAAGAAGGCTCTACGGCAGCGATTGAAGAGCGATTGTCGTATCTAATTGATTAATTACTCAGGAAAAAACAAACACCTAACGAGGTCAATCAGTCACAGATAATTTTCGTTCTTCTTGTCATGACATCATGATGCATCTTCCAATCAGAGTCATAGACCAGAATTTTCGTGTATAAAATTCAAGGAATGAGCACGCATATTCCACTTTCGAGTGTTTCGGGAAGATTTCGAGTAGATTTCGAAAGATGTGTAGCTAGAAATTATAGACTGGAGTTGCCTCTATTAGCAAATTCTCTCTTTTCGCTTAAGATTTCATTTCATTATCGATCTTCTCATTTTGCGGGACAAACTTTTGTTACACTTTCGAATATTTCGATACACATATATACATATATTTTGACATAACAACAAATTTAACACGGCTTAAATAAGCGTTAACCATCGTAGACCGTATTACAGAAAATTTAAATGTTGCCCTTAGAAGATTCTCTATGAGACTCCTGTTTTCGTATAATCCCATACTTTCGGATCCATCTCGAAGCGCTTTAAACGCTCGTAGTATTGGCCAAAGAAGAAGCCCTCCAGTTGAAAGATCTTGAAGACGCGATAGCTCTTTTCATCGTTGTATTTGTTGTTCCATGCCCAGACGCAATAAGTTGGAAAAGCCCACACAACGGACTCTCGTCCCCCCGAATCCAAATCGCAGGGCAGATGCGATGTGTCGAAGCCAAAGGGTATAGACGGCTCAGTGGAAGTGAGATTGGTATTATTGAGACTGCTCTTATTAGTGCGGGCCAAGTGCTTGATTGAGCTGAAATATGGGTACTGAGGTAACTGGGAATCGGGGGCCATTTCTTCTATGGGTTGACCTTGCTCTCTCCGCACCTTGGCCCAATCAGTGGCGTTAATCTTTCTTTCGACGACACTGGAATTTTTCGTTTCGTTTGGCATGTATTCCGGAACACTCCGGGCAGCTGCTCTCTCAATTAGTAGGAACTATCGATGGAAAGACGGATGAAATTGATTCTTATGTTTGGACATGCTTCGCCGCTTTGATTTCTTCATCGTCTTACCCCCACAAACAGCAATGCCAACAGGATTATTATTCTCCTAAATGGCAACTTCATTTTTCGTTCCAAAACAATTTCAATTACACAAAAATTTTGGATTTGTTTCGAGTTGAATTTACGGACTATCAATGATGACTTTTACTAGTGAAATGTACAGACAACTAACTCAATGGCACATAAGAAAAAGGTATCCCATAAATAACCCAGGAATACCGCCCTAAACCGTAAATCAACCATCCAATAAGAACGGATAATTTTATTGACCCTACAAACATTTGTAGTGTATCTATGGGTCTTTTGGCCAAACATAGCCGTGGGGATCGATTTCGTAGCGCTTCAAGCGCTCGTAGTACTGACCAAAAAAGAATCCTTCCAACTTATACATCTGCCAGACTCGCCAGGTTCCCTCATGGGCATACCTGTTGTTATATGCCCAAATGCAGAAAGAATTCAAATGGGTGATGAGCTGAAGGCCCATATCTATGTCGCAGGGTAGATGTTTCGTATGAAAATCGAATGGCAAATTTGTCCGAGTTGAACGCTTGCTCCGCCGGATATGCTTCACCGCGGATGGCGATGATTGAAAAGGGGTAGCAGATATATCAGAAGGGGAACCAGGACCGGATGCTGCTGGACTAGTGGTGTTCTTCATCTGCTCGCCTGCATCGAGGATCGAGGTGTTACTCGTAGAGTTGTTGATGCCACCGATAGACTGCCGCTGTGTTGGAGCAAGGGAAATACTCTTGGCATCCCCTAAAGGCAGCTGGGACTGCAATGTGAGGATGAGGATCAATTGAGGATAGTTTGAACACAGAGGACTTACCATGAGGAATAGTTGCCATATCAGAGCTAAAGCTAAGGACATCGTATAGGACGTGTATATCCCTTTCATATATGTGTTTTATTTTCTTTTCGTTTTACGTTATTGTGTATCAATGTATTAATTACTGCTAATTACTTAATATTATAGCAATAATTTGACATTTAAATGAAAGCTTGATTCTCAGAGAGAATATATTTATACATAGATACGGCGTTTCCCCTGATTTGAACTTTTCGCCGAATTAAGTATATCTCCGTTTGACACCAAATAGATTAATGTTCGCAATTTACTAGACAAATTAGAGTTTGTCTATGGTATGGGAAGGATACTCAAACGAAGTTCAGGGTTAGTGAGACGATTAGTAAAAAAATGTATCAGGAACGAGAAATTTAGCGGTTGAAATGCTAAGTTTTACCTTAAAGTTAAATTTAGTAACTACCACTTAAAGAGAGACAGCCAAGAGTCATGATGGCCTACGTTTATAAAAGCCACTCGTCGGATCGAGCAGCGAGCAGTATTTCAAGTATGCAAATAATATGACAGCCGTATACAAGCCGTTAATAGAATATAGCAGAGGAACTAACCTTAGTAACAGGATCAGGCTCTACCATCTGCACCATCTTCTCCATCTTCCGTATATTATAATTGGCCCTGCAACGTCGCAATGCGAAAAGGATTAGTATTCCCCTAAATCGCAACTTCATGTTTGGCTCCAAAACAAATTCAATACACAAACATTTTTGACTAGTTTCGAGTTGAATTTACGGACTATCAATGATGATTTTTACTATCGAATGTACAGACAACTAACTCAATGGCAAATTATAAAATATACCCCATATCCGCCCCAGGAATACCACCCAATACTATGGTATTGCCCATCCAATAAGTACATTAAGTCCAAACGGATAATTTAATTGACCATACAAACATTTGCAGTGTATCTATGGGTCTTTTGGCCAAACATAGCCGTGGGGATCGATTTCGTAGCGCTTCAAGCGCTCGTGGTACTGACCAAAAAAGAATCCCTCCAATTTATAGATCTGCCAGACACGCCAGGTTCCCTCATGGGCATGCTTGTTGTTATATGCCCAAACGCAGTGAGACTCAAAATTATCAACGATCGAAACAGCATTGCCCACATCCACGTCGCAGGGCAGATGTTTCGTATTAAAATCGAATGGTATATCCATCAGAGTTGAACGCTTGCTCCGCCGGATATGCTTCACGGCGGATGGCGATGATTGAGAAGGGGTAGTAGAAGGAGTAGCAGATATAACAGAAGGGGAACCAGGACCGGATGCTGTAAGACTAGTGGTGTTCTTCTTCTGGTCGCCTGCATCGAGGATCGAGGTGTTACTCGTAGATTTGTTGATGCCACCGATAGACTGCTGCTGTTTTGGAGTAATGGAAATACTCTTGGTATTCGTCAAAGGCAGCTGGGACTGCAATTTGAGGATGAGGATCATTTGAGGATAGCTTGAACATAGAGGACCTACCATGAGGAATAGTTGCCATATCAGAGCTAAAGCTAAGGACATCATATGGGACTTGTATATCTTTTTCATACAAGTATTTTCTTTTATTGTTTGTCAATGCGGGTTTCGTGTTTTATGTACCCATATAAAGATAAAAAGACAGCTAAATCAGTGTTACAAAAATCAGACATCCATGCTTACAGATTTTTGGATGACGGAGTTTTTGCCCCCTCCCCTTTAAAATCTACACATATAGCCGTCCCGTTAAAAGAGTAGATACGAGAATATAATTTTATTTCCGCATTAATTTTATAGAGACTAGACTAAAATCCCACACCTCTGTAGTCGAAGGAGTGTGGGTCGAGCTCGAAGCGCCTCAAGCGCTCATAATACTGTCCAAAGAAGAATGCCTCCATCATTGCCTGCATGTATATGCGCCACCACCCCTCGTGTTGGTGCCGATTGTTTTGTATCCAAATGCAATTAAAAGGCAAAAAAGCCATTATCTTATAGGTTCCCGATTGCTCCATGTCGCAGTGCATATGGTTCGTGAAGAAATCAAATGGAATATCTACTGCATATTCCCTCTTTTTGCGACGGATATGCCGCACAGTAGATGGCGAGGATTCGGAAGGGGAAACAGATGCAGAAACCGAAACATGGGATACTGAAAGGCTAGTGGAGTTCAGCCTCTGGTCGCTTGCATCCAGAATCAAAGTGCCATTTCTGGTGATACTTGTGGTGTTTCTGCTCTTTTCGATCTTCTGCTGCGTTGGCGTAATGGTGCCCCTAGCATTCCCGAAAGGCACCTGCGACATCAATTTGAGATTGAGTATCATTTGAGAGATTTTTCTCTTAATAGGAGAGGGACGTACCAGTAGGAAGAGCTCCGCTATGAGCGTCAAGGAAATTAAATTCAATTTGGGATTCATGTTTGATTTTCGATGTAGCTACAACAATAAATACTGACTGAACAAGGAATGATGAATACACAAAGATCTCAAAGAACTAAATCAATGTCCATGACACTTAAATGAAAGCTTGATTATCAGACTTTTTCCTGATTTGTACTTTCTACGAATAAAATATACCTCCGTGTAACATCGAAAATCTGTGTAAGGTTGCAACATTAGAATGCCTGTGCAAGTTGTACGATAATAATTTCGGGAACAGTTTTTCTTATATAATAAATTATAGAAATCGGGGTAGAACGTTGGCTAGTTGAGTTTTAAGAGTGATCTTGTCTTCAAGCACTTACCAGAACGAGCAATAGAGCTCGAGTCTGCAGCATCCTGGGCATTGTGTGTTTCGGGTTGTATGTTGTGTGCCTTAGGCGGAAATATCTATCGAATGCCCCTGCTACGCCTTATATCTATACGAAATTCCATACAAATTGTGGAAAAAGCGTCAGTTTCGGCCCTGCACAACCGCACCACCGCACCACCGCCAAGTATAAGTGTTCTGAGAAGAGTTCCAAGAGGAGGCGGATGTTCCATGGTCTGACAGCTGAAAGAATGCTAGGATATACGCACACACACACACACACTCAGGAGAGGACCAGGACATGCTGGCCAAGGACTTCTTTGGCCATGTAAAGAGTGACAGCCAAGTGTCATATAACGACCGCAACGTTTATAACGACCGCGCGTCGGATCGATTTGTGGCGCTGAAATGCGAGCAGCATTTCAAGTGTGAAAATAATATGACAGCCGTAATCAAGCCGTTGATAGAAGATAGCAGAGGAACTAACCTCAGCCCAAGGATCTATCGTATATACTATCTTCTATCTTCACTCTTCCCACATCTTCCGTTTTCCCATATGGATTTTAAGTTGAAAGGCTGCAGGAAATGGGCAAAAATGGCTGGCGGAAATGTTGAACGTGGCGGAGATGGAACCGAATAGGCAAGAGAAGGGGGTGCTGGGTTGGGGTTTGACTGTTAACACATGTCATTGGGGGCATAATTGCATGGCTATAGAAGTGGCTGTGGACGGAGGAAGGGGAAATGGAACTCAATTTCCACAGACAGAGCCCTGAGTAAAATGAATGACAATTGTTTTGACACGCATGTTTCGACAGAGAGAGAGAGAGAGAGACAGAGAGATGGTAGGGCAGATAGAGGAAATTTTCAACGTCAACATTTGGAGAGAGAGAGAGAATGATGGATATGCAGCCTCTCCCCTCGTACCAGGGGATCGTCCAGACGTACAGATGGAGATATATCCATCTAATTGAATTTTTGGAAGCGGGGGCCCGTCCACTGTGTTGGATTTATGTGAAAATCATTTTGCCGAATCTCTTATTTGTTTGAGGCCTCGTTGAAATCCAAACATTATTGGGCCATTGCCAGTAGATTAAAACCATACAAGATATGGCTTGGAATCTGAAAGTGGCATTTAATTTGTGCGCTACAAATGACCTGCGGGTTGGGTGTCGTGTATGTGGGCTTGTGGCCTGTGGTTATCCAAGGAACACGGCCACCTTATCACCTGTTCTTGCGGTTCCTCCCACTCGTCCCTTTCCCTACTCTCCAAACAACGCTAAATGCTTTAACAGTTAATTTAAAATCCAATTAAGATGAGCAATTCACGGAGGTCCTTGGACCAGCCTCTGCTTATGACGGTCCCTTCTAGGCCATCGCGTCTGTGGGAGGGATAGACGGAATGCAAATATTTCCACAGCGAATGGTGCATACATACATATATGCAGCTCGGTACCTGATGCTGCTGCTCGGAACGAAGCCAAATGGGAGCCTAATTAAGTCTCAGCCTGCGGGATGTGGGAAAACGATCCATGTCACTCAAAGACGAAGACGAAGACGAAGATTAATGATGGCCAACGGAGGGGGAGAATTACATCCAAAATTCTTAGCGGGCAATAGGGTTATAGGCTATATACAAGACATTGCCTCACACAGCTTTAGTTTCCATTTCCCAGGGAAATTCCGAGACTTAAACGGGATGAGCTGCTGGAAAGTAGGAATTTCGCCAAAGCCATAAGCTTCCCCCGGCCGCGAGGTCGCGTGTGTGGAAAGTGCACTCCGTCTTCGACTTTGCCAATAAAGTGAAATATCCTTCCACCATATCCATATCCTTGCCACACTCCACTCCTGGAGAATGCTGCTGTGTTGGCACATATTTTCGCCTGCTGTGCCAGCAAATTTGTTGCAGGACCACACAACTCTGGAGGACCTGAGTTTGCTGCAACAGCAAACTGCCGCTGAATGGGGCATACACACACATATACACACACATACGTGGTGCCGTTCTTTTCCCATTTTGTTGTAATTCTTTGCTGCAAGTTGTTTTTCATTTTCATTTTGTTTTTCCCTGTTGTTTGGCTGGTGCGGACGCTGCAGCCGCCGCGACCTTTTTGTTTGTTCGCGCTCTGGCGATTCGGAAAAAACTGTAGCAACAGCAGCAGGCGGGGGAGGGGCAGGCACCTCGTACTCGAGCACGCCTGAATGCTAGATGCAGAGCACTGTCTCACGGATGTGAGCGGGCACCTTGCATCGAGGAACACAGCCAAAGCGCAGCTAACAAAATGTTTATATGCCACAGGGTCTGAAAAGGGGGAGCGAATGGCTGCTGGATAGGGGAAACAGGAAGGGCTAAGGGATGAGGGATGCTCACGTATATGCAGTTATAAATTGCAGTTCGTGCGCAATGTTGAAGGGAAAACACAACCAGAGCGAGCAAAAGCCAGGGAAATGGAGAGAGAGTGCGCCATTCCATGGATCCACAGTGCCCCGCAATTGTGTCTGTGTTTATTTTGGCAGAAAAACTGTTGTTGTAATAGAATTAACGGAAAACCCAAAAGTTTTACTACAATTAAATATTTGTGCGGCCAGTCGTGCAACATAAACTCAGAGGGAGAGAGAGAGAGAGGGAGATTGGGCGAGAATCCATATTTCGACTATATGATACCTAATACTCAGGCAAAGTGATAGGAAAATAAATGTATTTACTGACAGATTAAGTTTTCATTGCAGCGAAATGGAAAAAGATACCACTTTTGGCAAACAATTAGAGCTTCATAGATTGTCTGTAAGAATAAAGTGCGTCTTGCATGAACTCGATATACCCCCTTGCCCTCTTCATGACAATAATAATATTTTGCCTATTCGCAAATCGATTGGCTAAATCTCGTATTAAATTGCTCAATTATACAATGGTTTTGTGTGTGGCAGGGCCACGGGCCGGGATATGCACTTTTAGATATCTGCATAAGCCTCTGATAATTGCAACAGATAAAATTACATTGGGGAAATAGTGCAATTGATATAAGATTTTATTGAATTAATAGTAACGAAACAAAACACAAGGTTAGGTCAATGGAAATTGGAAATGCAGTTGTACATACAGTGGCATGCATTTGCGTGGAAAATATGGGGAAATATGGGACTGAGGATGGCTGAAATAGATGAAATCGGGAGGTAAACAATATTTTGTATAGATATTTTCAAACATTATTTATGTTAACTATCAAATACGTGAACTAATTGTGGAGGTCGTTACGTTACATATCTGTTTTCTTGTTGGTAATTTGAATCCTCTTAATTTGTATCTACGGGTACTTACCTCTGCATTTAAGTGCGAGATACATGTATCTGTTGGCTAATTTCAAATATGCAACGAAGATGCATGATAATTATCTCCATTCCGTGAATGTATCAAATGAAGCGCAAGAATTCTCCCTATAAATTAGCACTGCGTATGGGTCTCTAATTTGGTCGAAATTCAGAGAAAGGCCTTTTGTACGAGTACTCCGAGTACGCGATTCCATAGAAGTACTCTAATTAGGGACCTCCCTTGTGGTCAACGTTTGAATTCTATGGAATCCGAGTTGCTCTTCCCTATTTCCTTCCCTCCTGACGCTGCTGCAGCTGCTGCTGCTGCTCGAGTGTGTCACATTCCTGTGATAAATGTGCGCGTGGGTTAATCAGATAGAGTATCTGCTGCTACAGAGATGGTCCCTATTTTCGTGGAGCAGACTCTGGTTTTTGCCATATTGGATTTCGTCTAATGCGCTGTCCGTTCGCGACTATTGCCTCTAATTAGCCGCCTTTTTGTTGCTGGCTCTTCGCTGTCCCATCTCTTGGGCTGTGCTCCATCTGGGATCTCCTCCTGTCGTCCGACTCTGGACGAATGTTTGGAAGCGCGGGATTGATGGCAGTTCATTTTTTATGCACGCAGCGCTATCTGTCTTGCAATGTGAGCTGGACAAATGGGTACGGGGATGTACAGTGCCCAGTGCTCTGGGATTATATCAAAAAGGATTGTATTAATTAGATATCATCACAAAGACCCTTAGTTCTTTAAACATGATACTCGTATGTATGATAATACTAGTAATAATGAATTTATATATAAATATTAAAGGACGATGCGATAGTCAAAATATTGGCTAGCACTTTCGTTGCGGATAAAAATTGCGAGCGAGTCGAAATAATACAAAATGAAGGTGTGCTTCCCAAAAGAATTACCATATTTTCACAGCAAACGAGAAAAAGTATGAAACGATAGAGAGAGAGAGAGAGAGCGGGAGAGATGGGGAGAAATGGAAATGCAATAAAGGAGGTTCAAAGCACAAAAAGGTGGTAAAATTTGCAACGGAATTGCAAATGCTGTTGACACTTGCACAATGCAAACAATTGCCCAGAATCCACATGCCAAGCTGCACATCCCCTCAACCCCTCATCCACAAACTCTGAGAAAAATCTACTTTTTTGGAGTTTGCTTTCCCTCTGGGGGGGTGGTTTTTTTTTCTTTTTTTTTTTTTGGTAATTTTCATGTTTGCGTAGGTTTTGGCAACACTTGATTGCCTTTTGGGCTTTGCCAAAGAGCTGGTGAGATGACAGCAGAACCCACAGGATATGGTCTATCCTCCTGGCAGAGTGTATCCCTAATAATTTTGAATCGGTTTTGCATAATCATGGGAATGGACCTGGAAACGGATGTGTAATACATCAGACAGCAAGTTCTTAAGCCTTCTCCTCTCTAAATTGTGTGTGTGTGTGTGTGTGTGATTGTGCAACATCTGCAGTGGGGACTCCTACCCCCCATTCGTTTTCATTCTGCGGCTCATAAATCATATTTGTATTTGGATCTCGTGCGATTTGCCGAGGCAGCCAGCTGGAGGGAAACATTCAATCAAAACTCTGCAAAATCCCACAAATTTGTTATTCGTCACGTATCCAAACGGAAAGCCGAAAGCTGCAGCTGCTTGTGGATATAACGGGGCGGAGGGGAAAAGCCATCCACTAAAGAGTTTAAAGAGCCAATGAAGGAGAGCCAGACATCGGCATCTGGCATTTCAAGTGGCATAATTCTCGTATGTAAATATTAAAAAATAGAATCATATGTATTCTTTTGCTTGCCATTGAAGCACAGACTATGGATTCCTCGTTTTTTGTACCCCCTCGTACAATATATTGTACATTTGCCAGAGCAACAACTTATCAAGTTTACACTCAACTGAATATCTCAAGAGTCCCCTGGCTGTGAGTCGGGGAGTTCCCCCCAACCCAGTTCATTCGGGGTTTCCACACTTTCCTTCTGGCGTGCTCCCTTTTCCACAGCATCCCGCTCTTTTCTGCGAAATGCTTATTAAATATTAAAATGATAAGGCAAGCGGTTACGGGAGTAGGGTCTCGTTTCTCCAGTCTCGTCTTCTTGGCTCTGAAAGATAGACAGTTTTTTCTGGGCTTTGCCTGTATGCCTCTATGCCCGTGTCCCTGTGCGAGTCTGTGTGTGTGTATCTGCTCGTATGTATCATTTGCTGTTTGCTTGTTTCTTTTTCCACTAAGCGGCTTTAGCCCTAAGACCCTGACGACAAGAAATACTGAAAAAAGGATGAGTCAGAGAGCACGGAGAGCGCTTTCATTGCTATTTGCTCTGGAATATTTCTGAATTATTCTCATTAGTTTAAATTTAAGTACTCGCAGATATTTTTTAAGACGATTTACATGTACATATTGGCTAAAGGGTGGACTGACGGAAAGCTAATTTTGCGAAAATTGTGGAAAGCGGTGGATTTGTGAGCAATTGGAATGTATATTTTGACCGTTGTACACACAAAATACTCAGCAAGGGTATTCCCACACACTTCAAGTTTTTTACAATATGACAATAAGTATTCTAGATCTTTCCAATGGAATATTTAATCATCTTTCAATCGATTTTCATGTAAAATATTCATTTAATATATTTGGTTTAAATTTGTTTGAAAATATTATTGGGAAACTTTTAAGTTTCAGATATGTTTTCCCCCCCCCCTTTAAAAGTATATACTTCTCAAAAATGTTTATCGTTTCAATGTTTAATGCAGTATCATTGTTGTCTCACTCTTTGCCTCTTCATATGCTAATGTATGGCTCTCCGGCATTCATATTTTCCACGTCGCAATGATTTTGTGCGATGTTCTCTTTTCCTTTTTGTGGCATTGCTTAAGTTTTGATTGCAGGCATTTGCATAATTTAAGGACTGCTCCTCTCCTATTTCCAGGGGCAGGGCATTGCCTTGAAACTGGCAAACCATGAAAATGAAAATTCCCCGATGTTCACTGTGCTCCCTCTCTGTGTCTACTGCTGTTGTTTTTCGTTCGGAGCAGAAATTATCATATCCTTTGAAGCTTTCCCTCCTAAATTATTAACGAAATAAATAGCGAAGGAAGACGTTCGCTTGCTGCTAGGAGAATATTGAAAAAGTTTCTCATTTCCATTTACCATCTTCCATTTCCATTTTTGCATTGCAGACGCAGCTAAAAGGAGCAGCCAGCAGCCAGAAAACAGAAGCATCCTTTGAAGAGTGAAAGAGTGAGAAGAGGAGTGGCTAGTGGCAAGCATCCGCATCCTAAACAACAATCTGGAGGGCATGTCCACAGCGAAAAGGCTGGTGCTCTCGCTACGTGGACGCAAGAACTCGCAGGGCAATTCGGCCACATCATCCACCCGTCTGGTATCCGCTGGCACCTCGCCCGGCCATGAGCTGGAGGAAATAGCCGTAGTCTCTGGTACCGGCACCAGCAGCCACCACTTCTCCTATGGCGGGTGTATTGCCAGCAGCGATGCCGCCGCCTCCACGCCGCGATACTCCACAGGTGGGTGCCACGGCTTTGCCCGGTGGCCATTGGTTACAGTTTTTTCGACTCCTCCCCCCCCCCCCCCACTCACAGTTCCAGTTGATCAATTATGGAGTAGGACAAGCAAGCACCTGAATCACAGCTTAAATAGATCCACCACCAACACCTCCACCCAAAAACCACCACCAAATCCACACCAAAAGTGACCTGTTGTGACCCCAAAATCCACTAAAGCCTGCTTGCATGCCTGGTAGAAGAGTTTACTCGTAGTGCATCTCATCTAGAAATCAAAGAGGCCAAAACTCGAGCGAAAACACTTTTCCCGCAGAAAAAGTCGTAGTCAACGGAGTGCATTTACTTTAATTTGCATTTTTATGTGTTGGCCTTCCGCTGGTGGCTGTGCCTGTGGTTTTTGCTACTAAATTATGGAAATCTCGACCCTAATGAGGGACGATGAAGATTTGATTTGACAAAGGAAGGCACAAAATAACCAACAAATCCAAGCCAACAATCATGGCAGCCCTTAATGGCAGTTTCCTTCTGCTGCTGCTGCTGCTGTTTCTCTCTTTTATTGTCCCGGCCAAATAAATCAATCAAATGACAAATATGCTTAGGCAATTGTCAGGCCAAGTGGCGGTCTCTCTCTCTCTCTCCCGCTCTGGGTCTTACCCTAATTTCATTCGGAATGGCAGTGTATGTGTTGTTTTAGCCAAAGTCAAAGCCGCAAAGAGACCCGTGCTCGGAGTCCTTCCCTCGTTCGTTCGTTAGTTTTCTTGTCACATTTTATAGGCCGCATATGCTACAAACATTTTTCTTGCCTCTGTGGCTGTGGCACGTTCTTTGCGTTGGCTTACAGTTAATTTTGAGTGAAATTCAATTTATCATTGAGCGGGGCATAAATCCGTATTTGGGACCACTTTTGCCCTCGTTACGGACACGGCACAGACACGGACTGCGGGACACAGGACTCTGCGGGCTCTGCAGGACTGCGGTGCAGATGAATCAGAGCGTAGATTTATTATCGTCGATTGTGTATGTTGTGTCACATTGTATTTGCTCCGACATGAGAGGAATGTGCCTTCAATTTGTCAGCCATACGACTCTCTCTCTCTCTTTGACCAATATCTCTCTACAGGGCGTATGCGCAATGCATTTAATGGGATTTAGTACAGCAACAATAGAAAATTTGTGTAAGAGTTGTGCTGTTTATTGGCCAGAGATGTTATTGACATTTATCGCAGACAGAAGGGCAGAGAAGACTTGGCTTTCACGACTCCTAACGCTTTAACGCTTGTCTGGAGAGCAGGAGAGAGAGATGGAGAGACTGAGAAAGAGACGGTGCAAAATGTAGATAGAGTTCCATAGATAGAGAAAACAAAACCCCAAAAAAACTGAGCATACAAAAAAGTTGTTCACAACTTTTGCCATATTTTCCTACTCGCGCCACACACACCACCAATGTTTTTAAACAATTTTTAGTACATTGCTCCTGCTGTTTTTCCACCCACATACATTTATGTATGTATATTTCTCTGTGGGTATTTGTGTGTGTGTTGACAAAGGCAATTTTCAGCAGAGCTTTGATCAAAGTTTTCCAAGGACTAGGAGGGGTTGGGGGGAATGGCAGTAAATTAAATTTGACTTACACCCAAAAATACAGCATAAAATGCGGAACAAGTGAATAAATCTCCAGTGTAAGTGTATGTATGGATGTGTATCTGTGTGCGAATTGTCATTTATTTCAATCCATTTCCCAACCCTCTTTGATGCCGTCCTCGCAAAAAGCTTTGAAAATTGAATTTCCCTCAAATATTCGTTGCCTACTTTTGCGGGCATATTGATCAATGTGGAATCAAATGGAATTGATCTACATATCTATCTGTCCACTAGTATATGGCCCGAAAAAACGTTTTTCATATTAAATTTTCTTTTTTCGTGTGCGTGTGCGTGTGCTGCCGTTTGATTTTATTCCATTTGAAATGCCTTGTGTGGGACGTTAAACTGGAAATTGCCATACAATATAGTCATCCGCAATAGCCCAGGCTTTTGTCTCTCCTTGTGTCCCTCTCTCTCTCTCTTTTTCTCTTTCTTTCTATCTCTCTCTCTCTCTCTTTCTCTCTCTTTTCTCTTTGTCTCGCTGTATTTGTTTCGCTTTTGTCTTTTGTCCTGCAATAATTGAGCTTAGAAGGTCTTATGGCTGCTGCATCATTGATTTCCCACCCAACTGTCATCTGCCACCGCACTCCATGGGGTCCCTCCCCTCCCCCTTCCTGCCGCTGATTCTTCTCCCCTTTTTCGACTGCCGGTCAAAGTTTTTGCAAAAGTTTCGCCTTTGGTTTTTCTTTCGTTTCTATTTTTGTTGGATTTTTGCTTTTAGCCCAAACTCAAACCTGAAATAAAAAGACTTCAGCGCCAGACATAGTTGAGTCCTGCCGGAAACTTTTTCCATTTGCCAACAGAGTTCACTTGAATACGGTGGAGCAGCAGACGCAGGAGGATTTCTCTGTTCTCTGGCTGTTGTCTCTGACAATTTTAAAGTCTGTCCTTGCACTTGCAGCAGGCGAAAATTGGGCATATATAATTAGTTTTATTTACCACCTGGCACGCAGATTTTAATTAGAATTTATATGCCAGAGCCCTTCAATAATTGTCGTCTTGGGGAGGGCTTCATCTGCTTCTCTTGGTGGTAGCTACATATTATTTCGTACTATTCTCCAACTATTTTGATAGCAGTATGTTTTCTCTGTTCTCTTTCTCCAATGAATACACCATCTCTCAGTTATTTCCATCTCCATGAAGCCTTCCTTACCTTTAAGAACACTTCCTTCTGCACCCGACACCAACTAGAGAGACGACGCCCTGACAATTTGAATGCAATCTGTAATTTGAGCATTTTCAATTATAAAAGCAATCTATGGCTTAGAGCCAAGCATTAGACAATGGCCTGGGGATGGCAGAATGTCCAGGAATATGAGTATCTTTTCTATACAATAGATGAAGTGAGCCGAGACGAATTGATTGGAGATTACAATGGAAGTATTGGCTCACCCCTTGCCAGCAGTCAGTGAAATCGAGAGAATACCGCGTGGGAATGATTGCCTCCTCCATAGAATGTTTCCTTTTTATCCGTTCTTTGGATGCACAAATTTTGGGGGGAAAGACAAGGAATGCAAAAATAGTTGCATGCTCTTCAACATGCCACAATGTTGTGGCTGTTGGCTTACGGCTTGGTTTTAATTGTTAGTTACGTTGTCGAGAGCCGAGCGGATGAGGCAACTACATTGCGTATGAATACACATTGTTGCCCGGCTGCCACGAAGCGCGGCACAACTTTGGAAGCAGCAACAGCAGTCAGTGCGTGCCGCACAAAGGACCACTTAAAGTTTGCACACTCTGAATCGCCTTTGGAAATGGGGATTTTCTTTGTCGGCAATGGGAATAGGAATACGAATAGGAATGGGTTGCACCGTGGCATGTGGCGGGGATGGTCGGCAATGTGGCAAGACTGTAATGCAATTACAAATGCAGGTGGAGTGGCTGTGGCTCTGGCAGTGCCCGTCGCGCCAGCATCAGTTGGCATCTAGCCAGGTGTCAACCAAAGGGGCCAACCAACCAAACGCAGGAGCAGCCAGGAGTGTGGGGGATAGTGGATTCTATGCTCCTGCTGCTCAAGTGCTTGACTTATCAACGAAAGTGCAGCATTAAAAAAATAAAGCAAGCGTTTCGCCCTTTGCACATTTGCAGGCCATTGAGCTCTTCCCTTTATCTCCTTTCGCTTTAAACCTCTGTCCCTCTGTCGCTTTCTAGTGTATTTGTGGATTGGTGCTATAAAGGACATAAGGAATGACCAGATAAGCAGCTCCCCATACCCCACTGGCAAGTGCATATGTAAATTACGTTGTACATAGATGTTAAATGCCGTGCGTCAGAGGCTGAGTGCTTAAGCGGAGGGAACCCCCAATGATGCGCTCCATTGTTAGAGCTATTCAGCGTATTGTAAGTGCTCCACTAGACCGAATCTAATCTGCATACATGTATACATGTATATTAGTGTCTTAACTAGTGACATATGATCTGTCGATAGCAGAAGCTTGGATCTGAGTCGAGTGTAATTTACCTTAAAGCACTGTTGGAAAATTCTTTAATGGATACGATATGCGAATCCATTAGCTGTGGCAGTTAAACTTATAACCCAATTTTACTAAAATACTATTTTAATTAAAGCTTGTCTAACTTTCTCTCCCATTCGTTTGTCAATGCAAATTAAAGTGTTGAGTGTCACTCGGACACGCACGAGCATACAGACAGAAAGACAGACAGACGGACAGACAGGCAGACAGGCAGACATCAAACATTAAGCACTTAAAGCCACGAGCCATGAGTGTGAGTGTGAGTATGAGAGAGTGTGTATTTTGGCAGGACATGTCGTGCATATCAATCACTTGTGCCCTCTGCCATTTTGGGTGGCATAAACCTATTATTTTTCCAGCCACAGATCTGTGGCTCTCTCCTGTCTCTCTCGTCGGTTGGCTAAGCCTGCGGCTACCAGTTCCAGTCGGATTTTTGGTCAACAGCCAGCGATAATTCGGTTCCTCCTACATATGTCTGGGGATTAACTGTCGCCCAGTGACCGCAGACGCAGACGAGGACTGCAAGGTGCCATTACAAAAGTCTCTTTAATGTCTGACCTTTTCTATGCCAACATAATTCTTTCGTATGACTAAGACTAAGAAGCTAAGACTCTATAAGATATAGGTACGTACTCGGATATACATTTGTAAGATTTATACACAAATATGGCCGCTAATTTTTGACTCTTTGAGTTCATAATAATTATTAAAACTCAATCATCAATGGATGAATTAAAAAAAGTATCAAAACTTCGGCCTTAATTTCTTGTGTTCTGAGCCGAGCCTCTGAGCCTGTGGGCAAGGTTCTTTTTGTGAAGCGAGCAATTTGCACAGAATTTATGTGTTTAATTACAGCGATGGTGCTGCAGAAAATTAAGTTTTTAGCCA